CGTCGCCCTCGTCCCCCCCACCCCTCCCCCATCGCCCTCGCTTCCGATGCCCGTCGCCCTCGTTTCCCCTGCCCATCGCCCTCCTTTCCCCCGCCTGCCGCCCTGCTTTCCCCCGTCCGTCGCCCTCGTTTCCCCCGCCCATCGTCGTGACGTCCCTCGCTTGTCGCCCTCGTTTCCCCCGCCCGTCGCCATCGCGTCCCCCGCATGTTACCATCGCTTCAAGATCCCGTCGCTCGCCCCGTCGACCTCTCGTCGCTCCCATTCCCTCCGCTGCCCCTCCCTGCTTCCTCTCGTCTTCACTCTTGCTTCCTTCCCCTGTCGCCCACACACACTCCCTCCCCTCCTTGCGGCCGTCGCCTTCGTCCCTCGCCCTTCCCCCCCCTGCCTACTCTGTTCCCCCCTACTTACTCCGATTCTTCTTGCTTGGTTTGTTTCCTCCTGCTTTGTCCCAACCCCCCTGCTCACTTGGTTTCCCCTTGCTCAGTTTTTCCCCCCTGCTCTCTCCCAATCTCCCAACGGCACATGTTATGGCTTTACCACGGCCCTGGATTATTACATGCATGGTAGCAGACAACTAGGTTGGAAAAACAACTACGGAAGGAAAAAACAACTAGGTTGGAAAAAAACAACTAGGTTGAAAAAGAACAATTACACGCTTATGTAATTTTGCGTTTTGCATTTATACGCTACGGAAAAACAAGCAGGACGACCGCCAGCGCAGCACGGTCGATCGCGCTCCAGCAGCGCAAAGTCGCGGCCTGCCAATGCTGCAAGTTGACGACGTGCCAACGCTGCAGCAAGGCGGCTGCACAGCGTTGCACCCGCAAGACAGCAGCACACCCGCTTCGCAAGTGCACGCAGATGATTGGCGCGCTGATCTTAGTCGCCTGCAGAGTGTAGACACCAAACCGTCCACGTACTGTCAATTGCACCTGATCAGCCACGTCGACCGAGGTCGGCTTTGCTAGAACCACCTGGGCAACCGTCGCGCTCCTCCGTAAACTTCGTCGCTCTGGTTACTTGGTCGACCTGGAAACCACCAGGTTGGCGTCGATTTGTTCGAAAAAAATCGACAGAGAGTTGTACGTGCTCGTCGACCATCCAAGTCAACGACCACTGGCCGACTTCACCAAGTCGGCCACTCCCGAGGTCGGCGCCACGAAGTCAGTGCCTCCAAAGGTTGATCTCGCCAGGTCGACCACCCAAACTCGACGCCCTCCAAGTCGATGCCATTCCTCTTCGTGCCCGTCGACCGCCCACGTCGACGACCACCACCGGTCGACCATACCAAGTCGACCACACCCCTGGTCGACCAGACCCAGGTCGACCAGTCCAGCTGGTAGCTACCCAGTGTGAGTATCGCCGCCTGTCGCACCAGACTCTCCTTTGGCACCACCGCCTTGGTCACCCCTCCCTTCCCCGCCTTCGTGGCATGCACTCTCGCTCCCTGGTCTCTGGTCTTCCCAGGTCTCTACCCTCCCTCCCTCCCTCGCCTGCGCCGTCCTGCATTCCTTGCGTCGAGGGGCGGCAGCGAGCTGCTCCTCATTCCTCCTCGTTCCCTCCCACAGAGGCTCCACTACACTCTCCACTTGGACGTGTGGGGCCCAGCCCGTGTCCAGGGGCAGGGTCGCGAGCGGTACTTCCTGCTGGTCGTCGACGACTACACGCGTTACACCAAGGTCTTCCCCTTGAAGCGCAAGGGGGATGTCCCTGCTGTTATGATCCCTTGGATTCGCGCTGTTCTTCTCCAGCTCCGCGACCGGTTCGAGTCGGACTTTCCCTGAGAAGATTTGAACAAGAATGAATGAACTATGAAATGAAGTGAGTACAAATATGAAACCCTAATTGGTTGTACCCCCTATGGAATACCCCACTATAGCCTACACAACAGCATAAGCTATAATGTTCTGACACACCCCCATAGGCAAAGTGGGGGAGAACAAGGGGTCACAAGACCAGTCAAGCAAAGTAAAGCAAAGCAAGCTCAGGGTGGATCACAAAGTCACCACACAGTCCGAGCACAGGGTCAAGGCCACACGGCCAGTTCACATGCAAGAGTACACACATATATATATAGAGCTAGACAAGCAAGAGAAGGTATATATATGTGACAGTACAAGCAAGGTCAAGAGGAGAGCAAGTGAGGCAAGACAGGTACAAGACCCAGCTGAGTGCAGAAGCGCTGATGGTCACAAGGCGCAAGTGCCTTGGTGAACACATCAGCAGTGTTGGCCTCAGAGGCCACGTACGCAAGTCGCAACTGACCACGCTGCTGCAGCTCACGAGCAAGAAAGTAACGAAGAGCAATGTGCTTCGTTCTGTGCTCCAAGCGCTGCTCTCGACACAAGGCCAGCATGGCCTTGTTATCTACGTACAGCACTGGAGGAGAACGAGGCGGCTCTCCAAGGTCAGTCAGCAGGTAGGTGAGCCAGCAAAGCTCCTGTGCAGCCATGGCCCCGGCGTAGATCTCAGCCTCACAACTGGAGCCGAGAACAGAGGACGAGCGAGTAGCCCGCCATGAGACAGAGCCGGAACCAAGACTGAAGGTGTAACCCTGCGACGACCGCTGCGTAGCCTGGTCGTCAGCCCAAGAAGCGTCCGCGTGCCCAGTGAGGACCACTGGACTCCGCCCTCCAAGCACTAGCCCCATGCCCGACGTACTGCACAAGTAGCGCAACACCCTCTTCGCTGCAGCCATGTGCTCTGGTCGGTGTCTCCCAGGAGCAACATAGCGTGCAAGAATGCTAAGAGGGTATGCAAGGTCAGGTCGTGTGCAGGTCATCAGGTACATGAGGCAGCCAACAAGCTCTGGGTACGGGCCACTCGACTCTACGGACTCATCCGAAGGCAGAGCTGAGAGCGAGTGGCGAGTAGACAGAGGAGTGGCCTGAGGCGAGGAGTACGTGAAGCCGAAGCGCTGAAGGACCTGCTGCACCATGTGTGACTGAGTCAGGGTAATGGTGCGGCGTGCTCTGTCCCGGGTGATCTGCAAGCCAAGGTAGCTGCGCAGTTCACCCAGGTCTGTGCACGTGTGTCTCTTCTGCAGCTCGGACTTCACGTAGGCGAGTCCAGCAGTGTCAGCTGTGGCAAAGACCAAGTCGTCGACGTACACGAGGATGTAGAACGGCGGCAGAGAGGTGTCGGTGCGTAGAAACAGCGACGGGTCGGCAGTAGAAGGAGCAAACCCAAGAGCCGCAAGTGTAGTCCTCAGTGTGTCGTGCCACTCACGTGGCGCCTGGCGGAGACCGTAGACTGGACGCCGGAGACTCCACTGGGTACCAGAAGGGAAAGACCCAGTGAAGCCAGGTGGGCGACGCAGCCAGATCTCCTCGTGCAGGCTGCCCTGCAAGAAAGCTGTGCTGAAGTCAAGAGAGTGCAGCTCGTAGTCACGGTGAGCAGCAACGTGCAGCAGTACCCGAAGAGTGGTCATCTTCGGGGTGGGGGAGAAGGTCTGAAAGTAGTCAACTCCCTGCCGCTGACTGAAGCCACGAGCCACGTAACGCGCCTTGAAGACAGGCGGAGAACCCGGCGGCCGCTTCACCCTGAAGATCCACATGCCACTGACGATGTTCGCCCCAGGAGGGGGGACAGCGTCAACGTAGGTGCCTGTGGACTTCCAGGAAGCCATCTCTGCATCCATAGCTGCCTGCCACTGAGAGGAGTAGGGACCCTCTATCGCCTCCGCGTAAGAGCGCGGAGTCGGGATGTCAAGTGCATCCGGGTCTCCCTCAGGGGTAAGCAGTACGGACACGAGATGAGGTGAGGCAGCTGCCAGACACTGGAACTCCTCCTGCCTGTCCTCAAGGACGTCCGTGCCAAGGGCACACTCACCCCCGACGGACGGAGGACAGACAGACTCAGACTCAGCGACAAGACTAGCAGCGTAGTCTAAGCGACAGCGAGCAGCAAAGTCGACGAGCTCAGTAACGAGAGCAGACGCAGCAGTAGACTCGAAAGAAGGGTCAGTGACAACAGTAGCAAGGAGACGCGTGACAGTAGGACTGGCAGCACGAAGAGAGTCCGACTCCGGGTCGGCAAGAGCAGGAAGAGAGGACTCAGGAGGAGAAGGCAAAGGGGCACGCAGAGGAGCAGTGGACGGACGCAGAGACATCCGGTGCGTGCCAGGGACAGGAGGAGGACGCTGACGCGAACCGCGACCACTAGTGCGAGCAGCACGGACAGGCGACGCAGGGCGAGACGCAGGCTCACGACGCTCAGCCAGACCTCCAGTAGGACCAGTGTAGGGAGAAGGAGCAGGCAAAGGGAAGGTAGGCTGCAACTGTAGCTGGGACGAGACAGGCTCTGGACACTCTAAGGGAGGAGGAGGACCAGTAGAAGGTGGAAGACCAAGAACCTGCTGCAGGAGTGGAACGAAGTACGCTCGAGGCCGCGCGGCGACGCTAGAAGCAGCAGGGACAGCACCAGAACCCTCAACAGGAGCACCCGCTCCAGCAGCACCACCAGTAGCTCCAGAACCTCCAGCAGCACCAGGAGCACCCCCAGTAGGACTGCCAGCGGTAGTCTCAGCGCTAGCACCCTCAGCAGCACCAGCTCCAGTGCACCCAGGACGAGCACCTCCGGGACCCGCGACCGCAGCACCCTCAGCAGCCGAAGGACCTCCAGCACCAGCAGCACGCCTCCAGCGCCGGGCAAACCACTCACGCAGCTCCTGTGGAGAAAGTGGCTCCCGGCGAGATGAAGCACTCGGAGAACCTCCAGGCGGAGCACCTCCAGGCTCAGCACCCCCAGGCGTAGCACCCCTAGGCTCAGCACCCCCAGACGTAGCACCCCTAGGCTCAGCACCCCCAGGCTCAGCACCCCTAGGCTCAGCACCCCCAGGCTCAGCACCCCCAGGCTCAGCACCCCTAGGCTCAGCACCCCCAGGCTCAGCACCCCTAGGCTCAGTACCCCCAGACGTAGCACCCCCAGGCCCAGCACCCCTAGGCTCCGCACCCCCAGGTACAGCACCCCCAGCCTCAGCACCCTCAGCAGCACCAGAGTCACCAGTGACCTCGACAGGCTCGACTGCGTCTACCTGGGACACACCTGAAGGGGCAGGACCCTGAGGGGGGAGGGGGTCTACCTGGGGGGGACCTGGTACCAGGAAGAGTGGGGGTGGGGGGGAGGGACGGAGTGCGGTAGGGGAAGAGGCGGTAGTAGGGGACCGACTCGTCAAACGTGACGTCCTGGGAGGACAGAACACGGCGAGAGGTGGGGTGGTAAAACTGCCACCCAGGCGTGTCAGGGGGGAACCCCAGGAAGACGCAAGGAGCAGCACGAGGGGATAGTTTGTCCGCAGACAGGTCGCGGACAAACGCCCGAGATCCCCAGACCCGGGATGCCGACGCATCGCCAACCTTCCCCGTCCACAGCAAGGCTGGGGAGGTCTCCGGCCTGGAGACCCTGGGGTGGAGGTTGATCTGATGCGCCGCGTACCTCACTGCAAACGGCCACAGAAAATGGGGGGCAGCCGCATGCATCATAGACGTACGAGCGACGTCCATGACCATGCCAATGCGGCGCTCAGCAATCCCATTTTGCTGCGGTGAGTCCGGAAGCGTGAAGGTCTGACGGATGCCCCGTGCACGACAGTAGGCACGCAGAAGGCCAGAGGAGAACTCTCCGCCTCTGTCCGAGTGCAGACGCAGAACAGGAAAGTCCGAGCCGAAGCTCTGCCTGAGCTGGAGACGAGCTGCGCGGATCCAGTCGATCAGCACCTCAGTGACATCACCCTTGCTGCGCAAGGGGAAGACTGTGGTGTAACGCGAGTAGTCGTCAACAACGAGCAGGAAGTAGCGCTCGTGACCCTGTCCACGGACGCGGGCTGGGCCCCACACGTCCATGTGAAGTGTCTGCAACGGGGCCTCTGTCGGAGGAAACTGGGAGGAGTGAGGGGCAGCACGCAGGCGCCCCTCGACACAGGGGACACAGGCAGGGCCAGGGCCCTGAGGAAGGGGAGGGAGGGACCGGGGGAGACCGGACACAAGAAGACGGGAGGCCATACCTCTGAGCCGAAGCAGAGAGGGGTGGCCAAGGCGGTGGTGCCAGAGGAGAGTCTCGTGAGACAGGAGACGACACGAACAGGGGGCAGACTCAGGACCAGACCTGGACGCCGCAGCAAACACCTGACCCGACGTAACTACCCTACCAGACTCAGCAACTGGAGGAGACGCAGTGGTCAGAGTGTACAGGCTCGACCCCGGCTGACGGGTGAACGTAGCCAGGTGTCGGCCTGTGCCAGCCTCTGTACAGTGGGTCACTCTCTGACGTGCAGGAGTGAACTGGTGGACCCCCGCATCCTGTAGGTCAGCACCACTCACCAGGTTCGTAGAGAACGAGGGGAGGTAGAGACCAGACAGGGTGCCAGAGGGAGCCGCCGGACACGGGAGGACTGTGGAGAAGCGAGACAGGACAGGACCCCCAGAGGGGTCAGCCAGAGACACTGCAACCGGTCGACTCAGCGGTGTGAGTGTGGTGCGGTCCCGAAAGAAGGAGCGAAACGCCCCAGAGTCAAGGGTGAAGGTGAGGGAGGCCGAAGCCGACGCAGTACCTGAGAGCGCAGACTCACCAGTACCTGAGGACGCAGACACACGAGCGCCTAGAGCAGCAGCGTCGCAAGCACCTATGGCAGCAGCCTCACCAGGACCTAGAGCAGCAGTCTCAATGCCCGGATCGGGCGGGAAACACCGGTAACAGTCACCCTCATCACTAATAGACACAGCATACATGGCAGAGAGAATAGCATCAAAGTCAAGATCATAGATGGCAACACCCGCCCTAGACAGCTCGCCCCAGCGAGGGATCTCGGAGGCCTCCGGGAACTGGTGACGCCACGCGTCCGTCAGGCGGCCAAAGCAGCGCTGGGTGGGGTGGGCACCCCCACACTGCTCACCCGCACGGTCGCCAGTGCGCAAGACGTAGGAGCACGGACCAAAACCCCCACCCCGCTGACGCGCAGTGTACCACTCACGAAGCTGCTGAGGGGACAGGGTGTCACGACCACGCTGCTGCTGCTGGCGCGAGCCACCACCGGAGCCACTCCTCTGCGAAGACCCGCGACCAGCACCACCGCCACCCCCGCCGCCTCCGACGCCTCCGCCGCCTCCGCTACTGCCACCGCCTCCGCCTCCGCCGCCGCCTCCACCTCCGCCACCTCCGCCACCTCCGCTCCCACCGCCACCGCCGCCGCCACCTCCACCTCCACTGCCGCCACCGACCCCTCCACCCCCACCTCCACTCCCACCGCCACCCCCACTCCCCCAACTGCCGCCACCTCCACCTCCACCGCCCCCGCTCGCTCCTCCAGCGCCCTTGCCCCCCTTGCCCTTGCCAGAGCGGCGTCTCCCGCTAGGGGCAGACGCCGCACCGACCGACTCAAGAACAAGGAGGTCGGCCGCAGCAGCAGAGGCAACAGAGGGCAGAAGGGGGGAGGGGGAACACCCCTCAAAGATGGGGGTGCGCGGGTCACCACGAGAGGCCCCTACAGCGACTATGCTCTTCTCGGCCGCTAGGAGGGACTTCTCGAGGAGGTCAACAGTGAGAGTGGTGGGACAGACAGAGAGAAAGTGGTCCCTGACTACGCGAAGGGAGTCAGGAAGGCGAGTGACTATGTAGTAAAGAGTGATGTACATGGGGGGGGGGTTCCTGGCGCAGAAGTCAGGAGGGAGTGCAGCGCGGTAGCGAGTGTCACTAGTGCGGAGGTGCGTAATGAGGTCAGTGACTGTGGGAAAGGCAGCAAGATCAGGAAAGAGGTACGGTAGCATGAGACGGCTCAGTGCAGCAGTGGCAGGGGAGGAGTAGCGCGCAACTACAGCGTCGTACAAGGTCTGAGCACTCTTGTACTGACTAAAGTGCGCACGCTCGAAGGTAGGGAGGTGGCGACGCACAGCAAGACGTGCAGCAACGTCGCGCGTGGCCCACTGGGAGCGAACAGTGGCGTCAGCATCAGCAGCAGGGGCAGTGGAGGTGCCAGAGGTGAGGTCAAAGAGAGAGAGGCCGTCTGCCCTATCGCACTGTAAGAACAGCTGCAGGTCATCTACCCAGACCTCAAAGTCAATGGCCCTACCCTCAGCGTCAAAGGCGAGAACACTAGGGGTAGCCATGACCCTAGACGACTAGCAGCGCAAACAGTAGGGTGAGGACAGTGCAGTGAAAAGGCGCTGTGCTCACCAGACTGGGCAGGTCGGGCGGCCCTGAAGGAGGGCGGCGCGGCGGCTCGGCGGCTCAGCTGCTGGGCGGCCCGGCGGCTCGGCGGCTCCGCTGCTGGGCGGCTCGGCTGCTGGGCGGCTCGGCTGCTGGGCGGCGCGGCCGCTGGGCGGCTCGGCTGCTGGGCGGCTCGGCTGCTGGGCAGCTCGGCTGCTGGGCGGCTCGGCGACTCGGCTGCTGGGCGGCTCGGCTGCTGGGCGGCTCGGCGGCTCGGCTGCTGGGCGGCTCGGCTGTGCTGCTGCAGGGCGGCACGGCTGGGCAGCAGGTGACGGGGCCGCAGGTAAGGGCGGCGGGGCCGCTGGTAAGGGCGGCGTGGCCGCGGGTAGGGTGGCGGGGTCGCAGATAGGGTGGCGGGGCCGCAGCAGAGGGCGGCGGGGCCGTAGGTAAGGTGGCGGGGCCGCAGGTAAGGTGGCGGGGCCGCAGGTAAGGTGGCGGGGCCGCGAGGAAGGGCGGCGGGGCCGCTAGGTAGGGCGGCGGGGCCGCGCGATGGGGCGGCGGGGCCGCGAGGAAGGGCGGCGGGGCCGCGCGATGGGGCGGCGGGGCCGCGCGATGGGGCGGCGGGGCCGCGCGATGGGGCGGCGGGGCCGCTAGGTAGGGCGGCGGGGCCGCTAGGTAGGGCGGCGGGGCCGCGCGATGGGGCGGCGGGGCCGCGATGGGGCGGCGGGGCCGCTCAATGGGGCGGCGAGGCCGCGAGGTAGGGCGGCGGGGCCGCTAGGAGAGAGGCGGCGGGGCCGCTAGGTAGGGCGGCGGGGCCGCTAGGAGAGAGGCGGCGGGGCCGCGAAGACGGGCGGCGGGGCCGCGGAGACGGGTGGCGGGGCCGCAGTGCAGGGCCGCTAGGGCGGCTCGACGAAGTGAGGGCCCGGAGCGCGACTCGGGCTGAGTGCGCTTCGGGCAGGAAAAAAAAAATCGATGTGGTGGGCCCTAAGCACAGTTCCCAAGGGGGAACCTGCTCGATACCATGTGAAGATTTGAACAAGAATGAATGAACTATGAAATGAAGTGAGTACAAATATGAAACCCTAATTGGTTGTACCCCCTATGGAATACCCCACTATAGCCTACACAACAGCATAAGCTATAATGTTCTGACATTCCTGTCATGCGTCTACACTCTGACAGAGGTGGTGAGTTTACCTCCGAACTCTTACGAGCCTTCTGTGAGGAGCACGGCATCCGCCAGTCGTCCACGCTTCCGGCCTCTCCGCAGCAGAATGGGGTTGCTGAGCGCCGCATTGGCTTAGTCATGGAGGTCGCTCGTACCTCCATGATCCATGCGGCTGCCCCCCATTTTCTGTGGCCGTTTGCGGTCCGGTACGCCGCGCATCAGCTCAGCCTCTAGCCCCGTGTCTCCGTGCCGGAGACTTCGCCCACACTACGCTGGACGGGGGAGGTTGGCGATGCGTCGCGTTTCCGGGTCTGGGGTGCTCGTGCCTTTGTCCGCGATCTCACCGCGGACAAGCTCTCTGCTCGCGCCATTCCCTGTGTCTTCCTTGGCTTTCCTCCTGACGCGCCTGGCTGGCAGTTTTACGACCCCGCCTCGTGCCGTATCTTTGCGTCTCAGGACGTCACCTTCGACGAGTCGGTCCCCTTTTACCGTCTCTTTCCCTACCGCACTGCCCCTCTCCCCCCCCCGCCGCTCTTTCTCGCTCCAGGTCCTCCCCAGGTAGACCCCCTCCCCCCTCCAGGTCCTGCTCCTTCAGGTGTGTCTCAGGTAGACCCTCCCTTGACTGAGCCTGTTGAGGTCACTGGTGACTCAGGTCCTACTGGGGGTCGTCCTGCTCGGGGTGCTGAGCCTGAGCGTGCGGAGCCTGGGGGTGTGGAGCCTGGGGGTGCTGAGCTTGGGGGTGCGGAGTCCGGGGGTGCGGAGCCTGGGGGTGCTGAGCCTGAGCGTGCTGAGTTTGGGGGTACTGCGCCTGAGGGTACTGATGGTGCTGGTGAGCGGTCTCCTTGGAGTGGCCGCCTGCGTAGTCACACTCGTCGGCGTGAGCCTCTCTCACCACAGCAGCTACACGACTGGTACGCTCGCCGTCAGGGTCGCGCTGCTGGAGCTCGGGGCTCTGCCACTGGTGGCGCTTCTGCTGGCATCACTGGAGTTGGGGGTACCGGTTCAGAGGGTACTTGAGCTGGTGAGCGAGGAGCAGGCGACGCTGGAGCAGCTGGGTCTGAGGACCCTGGAGTTGGTGGTACTGCTGACCCCCGCAGGAGGCGCTGTTGGCGCTGCTGGCGCTGGAGCTGGGAGTGGTGCAGGTACTTTGTCTGCTGGAGGTGCTGGAGTCGCTAGTCCCGGAGGTGCTCGTACTGGAGGTACTGGAGCTGCTGAGGCTGGAGGAGCTGCTGGACCGGGAGGTACTGCTGTCGACCCTGGAGCTGGGGGTGCCGGGTCTGGTGGTGCTGCTGCTGGTGGCGCTGGTACGGGAGGTACTAGCGCTCGAGGTTCTGGAGCTACTGGAGGTGCTAACGCTGGAGGCCCTGGCGCTGGAGGTTCTGGAGCTGCTGGTGACGCTGGTACTTGAGGTGCTGGCGCTGGAGGTTCTGGAGCTACTGGAGGTGCTGGAGCTGGAGGTTCTGGAGCTGCTGGAGGTGCTGGAGCTCCTGGTGCTGGTGGTGAACAGCCTTGACTGTTCTTCGCTCCGCCGTCTCCGTCGTCTCAGCCACCACCTGACTCCGTGCTTCGCCAGGTTCTTAGCCTCCCGTCTTCTACTGGTCTTCCGTTACAGCCTGGCTCACCACTGCCTGCTCCTTCTCCTTACACTGAGCAGACAGGAGGTCTTGCTGAGAGTCGTGAGCCTGCGTCGCGTCCTGTCTCGCCTGTTCGTTCTGGTCGTACCGGTCGTCGTATTCCTCATGAGTGTCCGCCTGCTGTTCCCGGCACGCACCTTATGGTACTACGTCCTTCCTCTGTTCCACAGCGTGTTCCTCTGCCGTCTCCTGCGTCCTCTCTCCCTGACGGTGCGGACCCTGAGTCTGCCCGGTTTCGTGCTACACACCCTACTGTCATGCGTCTGTTAGCCACTGTTGTCACTGACCCGTTGTTTGAGTCTGCTGCTGCGTCTGCCTTAGTCGCTGAGCTTGTTGACTTTGCTGCTGCCTGTCGTCTCGACTACGCCGCTAGTCTTGTTGCTGAGTTTGAGTCTGTCTGTCCTCCGTCCGTCGGGGGTGAGTGTGCTCTTGGCACGGACGTCCTTGAGGACAGGCAGGAGGACCTTGAGTGTCTTGCAGTCGCTGCGCCTCATCTTGTGGCCATGCTGCTTTCCCCTGAGGGAGACCCGAATGCACCAGACATCCCGACCCCGCGCTCTTACGCTGAGGCGATCGCGGGTGAGTACTCCTCTCAGTGGCAGACAGCCATGGAAGCAGAGATGGCATCCTGGAAGTCCACAGGCACTTACGTCGATGAGGTTCCCCCTCCTGGGGCGAACATCGTTGTTGGCATGTGGATTTTCAGGATGAAGCGGCCGCCGGGTTCTCCGCCTGTCTTCAAGGCTCGTTTCGTTGCTAGAGGCTTCAGTCAGCGTGAGGGAGTTGACTTCTTTCAGACCTTCTCCCCCACCCCGAAGATGACCACTCTTCGGGTGCTACTGCACGTTGCCGCTCAGCGTGACTACGAGCTTCACTCTCTGGACTTCAGCACAGCCTTCTTATAGGGCAGCCTGCACGAGGAGATTTGGCTGCGCCGCCCACCTGGCTTCACTGGGTCGTTTCCTCTTGGTACCCAGTGGAGCCTCCGGCGGCCAGTCTACGGTCTCCGCCAGGCGCCTTGTGAGTGGCACGACACACTGAGGACTACACTTGCGGCTCTTGGGTTTGCTCCTTCGACAGCTGACCCGTTGTTGTTTCTGCGCACCGACACTTCGCTGCCGCCGTTCTACATCCTCGTGTACGTCGACGACTTGGTCTTTGCCACTGCTGACACTGAGGCTCTCGCCCTGGTGAAGTCGGAGCTGCAGAAGAGACACACGTGCACAGACCTGGGTGAGCTGCGCAGTTACCTTGGCTTGCAGATCACCCGGGACCGAGCACGTCGCACCATCACACTGACTCAGTCACACATGGTGCAGCAGGTCCTTCAGCGCTTCGGCTTCACCTGGTCCTCGCCACAGTCTCCTCTGGCTACAGGTCACTCGCTCTCAGCTCCACCTACGGATGAGTCCGTAGAGCCGAGTGGTCCGTATCCAGAGCTAGTGGGCTGCCTCATGTACCTGATGACCTGCACTCGTCCTGACCTTGCGTACCCTCTTGGCCTTCTGGCACGCTACGTGGCTCCTGGTCGGCACCGAAAGGTGCACATGGATGCTGCGAAGAGGGTACTGCGCTACTTGTGCAATACATTGGGCATGGGGCTCGTGCTTGGAGGTCGGAGTGAGGCTGTCCTCACTGGGCACTCAGACGCTTCTTGGGTTGACGACCTGGCTACGCAGCGGTCGTCACAGGGTTACACTTTCAGCCTTGGCTCCGGCTCTGCTTCTTGGCGGTCTACTCGCTCTTCTTCTGTTCTCAGATCCAGTTGTAAGGCTGAGATCTACGCCACAGCCATGGCTGCACAGGAGATACGCTGGCTCACCTACCTGCTGACCGACTTGGGAGAGAGGCCTCGTTCTCCTCCAGTTCTGTACGTCGACAACAAGGCCGCCATTGCCTAGTGTCAGGAGCACAGACTGGAGCACAGAACGAAGCACACCGCTCTGCGTTAATTTCTGGCTCGAGAGTTGCAGCAGCGTGGTCAGCTTCGTCTTGCTCACGTGGCCACTCGGGCCAACACTACTGATATATTCACCAAGGCACTTCCGTCTGGTGATCATCAGCGTCTGTGCACTCTGTTAGGCCTGGTGCCAGTTTCGTCTCACTTGCTCACTTCTTGACTTTGCTTGTACTGTGATTTATACATATATACCTGCATGCTTGCTCTTGCTAGGTAGTGATCACTGTACTGTTGTTGCATATATGCCTCTGCATGTGAACTGGCCTTGTGGCCCTTTGCTTGTCCTCAGAGTGTGTGGCACCCTGAGCTTGCTTTGCTTTTCTTGACTGGTCTTGTGACACATTGTTCTCCCCCACTTTGCCTATGGGGGTGTGTCAAACTATATATGTTGTGTTGTATTGTGTAGGCTGTAGGGTAGCCAATATGGGGTACAACGCCTTTAGGGTTTCACATTTGTACCCTACTCTGATCTAGTTCATTTCATTCCTGCCTGTAGTTTCTGAGATCGCCTCCTCGAATCCGCCTCCGCTACTCGCCGGAACCCGTCCTACCGACTAGAATACGTATTGGCCGACCCTTTTTGCGTTAAATCGAGGCGATTCAATCAGTTTAAGGGAGGTAAAATTGAGCATAATGGTCGGCACGAGATGAGAAGGAAGTATGATGTCGCTCTTGTTTTCCCCGTCCGTTGCCCTCGTTTCCCCCGCTCGTCGCCTTCGTTTCCCCTGCCCGTCGCCCTCGTTTCCCCTCCCACCCACGTCGCCCTCGCTTCCCCCGCCCGTCACCCTCGTTTCCCTCACTTGTCGCCCTCGTTTTCCCTGCCAGTCGCCCTCGTTTCCTCCGCCCGTCGCCCGTCGCCCTCGTCCCCCCCACCCCTCCCCCATCGCCCTCGCTTCCGATGCCCGTCGCCCTCGTTTCCCCTGCCCATCGCCCTCCTTTCCCCCGCCTGCCGCCCTGTTTTCCCCCGTCCATCGCCCTCGTTTCCCCCGCCCATCGTCGTGACGTCCCCCGCTTGTCGCCCTCGTTTCCCCCGCCCGTCGCCATCGCGTCCCCCGCATGTTACCATCGCTTCAAGATCCCGTCGCTCGCCCCGTCGACCTCTCGTCGCTCCCATTCCCTCCGCTGCCCCTCCCCGCTTCCTCTCGTCTTCACTCTCGCTTCCTTCCCCTATCGCCCACACACACTCCCTCCCCTCCTTGCGGCCGTCGCCTTCGTCCCTCGCCCTTCCCCCCCCCCGCCTACTCTGTTCCCCCCTACTTACTCCGATTCTTCTTGCTTGGTTTGTTTCCTCCTGCTTTGTCCCAACCCCCCTGCTCACTCGGTTTCTCCTTGCTCAGTTTTTCCCCCCTGCTCTCTCCCAATCTCCCAACGGC